TAATTATCAATATTATTTCTATCATTATTATTATTATTTTTGTTTTTGTTGTTATTATTATTCAGATTATCATCAATACCTTATTATTATTATTAGTTATCATTATTATTATCATTTTCACTAATCTTCTCATTATTACTCTTTATTATTATCATTATTTTTTTTGTTATTTTGTTATCATTATTATTATTATCGTCATTGTTGTAATTATTATCATCAATATCATTTCTATTCTCATCACGATTATCGCCATTATTATTTTATCATCATTGTTATTATTGTTATTATTGGTGCTATCATCATTATCAGTATCATTATCACTTTCATTATCATTATCATCATTACTATTATTATTGCTAATATTACTATGCATGTCATTATTATTATTATTATTATTATTATTATTATTATTATTGTTATTATTGTAATTATCATCATTATTACTTTTATCATTATCATTGTTATTGTTATTATCAGAACTCTCAGTTCTTTAATCATTATTTTTTTTACTTTTACTTAAAAGAAGAATAGTTGTCGACTTCTATCCTCTTCCTGATAACTGAATACCTCGCCTGGGTCATTAAAGAGAGACGGCTGCTAATGAGGGGGTAATTATGAGTTTCAGAAATCACGTAGATGGAAGTGATTCTGTGAACGGCCAGATTACTGTTGCTGTTAATTGTTTGTTTGTCTTTTCTTCTTTTCGTAGTTCTCTCTATCTTTTTTTCTCTCTGTTTTTCTCTCATTCTCTCTCTTTCTCTCTCTCTCTGTCTTTCTCTGTTTTTTTTTCTCATTCTCTCTCTCTCTGTCTGTCTGTCTGTCTCTCTCTCTCTCTGTCTGTCTGTCTGTCTGTCTGTCTCTCTCTCTCTCTCTCTCTCTCTCTCCTCTCTCTCTCTCTCTCTCTCTCTCTCTCTCTCGATGAAGCTCCTCCTTCCCCCCCTCTCCCTCTCCCTCTCTCTCTCTCCTCTCTCTCTCTCTCCTCTCTCATTTTTTTTTTTTTTTCTCTTTGCCTCTTTCTCTCTCTCTTTACCTTTCTTTCTTTCTCTCGTTCTCTCTTCCTCAAGCACTCAGGTATGTTGATGACAAAGCGAGGTAACTGGGTACGATTTGTTGTCTAAAATGGATTCAGAAAGTGTGCCTTTGTCTGCTCCTTTTGTTTTCTAAGTTGGAGAGGCTATTTTTTTTTTTTTTTTAGGTGGTGATTATTGTCTGTCATTTATTATTATCATTTTCATTAATCTTCTCATTATTACTCTTTATTATTATCATTATTTTTTTGTTATTTTGTTATCATTATTATTATTATCGTCATTGTTGTAATTATTATCATCAATATAATTTCTATTCTCATCACGATTATCGCCATTATTATTTTATCATCATTGTTATTATTGTTATTATTGGTGCTATCATCATTATCAGTATCATTATCACTTTCATTATCAATATCATCATTACTATTATTATTGCTAATATTACTATGAATGTCATTATTATTATTATTATTATTATTATTATTGTTATTATTATTGTAATTATCATCATTATTACTTTTATCATTATCATTGTTATTGTTATTATCAGAACTCTCAGTTCTTTAATCATTATTTTTTTTACTTTTACTTAAAAGAAGAATAGTTGTCGACTTCTATCCTCTTCCTGATAACTGAATACCTCGCCTGGGTCATTAAAGAGAGACGGCTGCTAATGAGGGGGTAATTATGAGTTTCAGAAATCACGTAGATGGAAGTGATTCTGTGAACGGCCAGATTACTGTTGCTGTTAATTGTTTGTTTGTCTTTTCTTCTTTTCGTAGTTCTCTCTATCTTTTTTTCTCTCTGTTTTTCTCTCATTCTCTCTCTCTCTCTCTCTCTCTCTCTCTGTCTTTCTCTCTGTTTTTCTCTCATTCCCTCTCTGTCTGTCTGTCTGTCTGTCTCTCTCTGTCTGTCTGTCTGTCTGTCTCTCTCTCTCTGTCTCTGTCTCTCTCTCTCTCTCTCTCTCTCTCTCTCTCGATGAAGCTCCTCCTTCCCCCCCTCTCCCTCTCCCTCTCTCTCTCTCCTCTCTCATTTTTTCTTTTTTCTCTTTGCCTCTTTCTCTCTCTCTTTACCTTTCTTTCTTTCTCTCGTTCTCTCTTCCTCAAGCACTCAGGTATGTTGATGACAAAGCGAGGTAACTGGGTACGATTTGTTGTCTAAAATGGATTCAGAAAGTGTGCCTTTGTCTGCTCCTTTTGTTTTCTAAGTTGGAGAGGCTATTTTTTTTTTTTTTTTAGGTGGTGATTATTGTCTGTCATTTATTATTATCACTTTATTTTATTTGTTTTGTTTTAGATATGACCTCTGTTTGATATACAAATAATCTGAATAGGTATCAGTATAAGAGATATGTGGTTTATTTTATTCGTCCTTTGAGTTTGATTTTTTTGTTTGTGTTCTCGAAAGTGAGATCAAGGAGAAAGGAATTCGAAAGGAAAAGAATATGGAGGAAAAATGGGAAACATGAAGGAAGTGGAGGAGAAAGGAAGGAACAGAAGGGGAGGAGGAAAGGGATGTGGAAAAAGATGGAAACGCAAAAGAGGAATAAACGGAGGAGATGAAGGAAAGCTAATCAGAACGTGGAAAAAAAAGGAAAGAAAAACGAGAGGAGGAGAAAGAAAGAAAGAAAAAAAAAACAGAAAAAAGTAAAAAGTAAAAAGAGAAATAAAAGTTCAAAAGCCAAACGAAAGAAGAAGAAGCGAAGACAGAGGGCGCAGATCCTCGCCCCCGAACCACGCCCCCGCGCCCGCCCAGCTGCCCCCGCCCTCAGGCCCTTCCGTCACCCCCTCACCCGCCCGCCCTGTGTCCCGCCGGGCGCTAAGGGATGGTAGTTTGAGATGTAACGAAATTATCATTCTTTGGCGTCCGGCGTGATCAGGGGCCAACTTCCACGTGATCAGGGGCCAACTTCCACGTGATGAAGGGCCAACTTCCACGTGATCAGGGGCCAACCTCCACGTGATCAGGGGCCAGCTTCCACGTGATCAGGGGCAAACTTCCACGTGATCAGGGGCCAACTTCCACGTGATCAGGGGCCAACTTCCACGTGATTAAGGGCCAACTTCCACGTGATCAGGGGCCAACTTCCACGTGATCAGGGGCCAGCCCCCACGTGATCAGGGGCCAACCTCCACGTGATCAGTGGCCAACTTCCACGTGATCAGTGGCCAACTTCCACGTGATCAGGGGCCAACTTCCACGTGATCAGGGGCCAACTTCCACGTGATGAAGGGCCAACCTCCACGTGATGAAGGGCCAACTTCCACGTGATCAGGGACCAACTTCCACGTGCTTAGGGGCCAACTTCCACGTGATGAAGGGCCAACTTCCACGTGATCAGGGGCCAACTTCCACGTGATCAGGGGCCAACTTCCATGTGATGAAGGGCCAACTTCCACGTGATCAGGGGCCAACTTCCACGTGATCAGGGGCCAACTTCCATGTGATGAAGGGCCAACTTCCACGTGATGAAGGGCCAACCTCCACGTGATGAAGGGCCAACTTCCACGTGATCAGGGACCAACTTCCACGTGCTTAGGGGCCAACTTCCACGTGATGAAGGGCCAACTTCCACGTGATCAGGGGCCAACTTCCACGTGATCAGGGGCCAACTTCCACGTGATGAAGGGCCAACACGTGATGAAGGGCCAACTTCCACGTGATCAGGGGCCAACTTCCACGTGATCAGGGGCCAACTTCCACGTGATGAAGGGCCAACTTCCACGTGATCAGGGACCAACTTCCACGTGCTTAGGGGCCAACTTCCACGTGATGAAGGGCCAACTTCCACGTGATGAAGGGCCAACTTCCACGTGATCAGGGGCCAACTTCCACGTGATGAAGGGCCAACTTCCACGTGATCAGGGGCCAACTTACGGCGTGCTTCGGTTGCCAGGCACGGATTTTAGATTTTAAAAATTATTTTGCATTTATCTCTTTACTTATCTTTATTTGTAGGAGTTTTGTTCTTTTCTTTTACACTGTTGAATATTTCTTTTTGTTTTGCGTGAGGTTTTATCTTCATTTAAAGATTTTTTTCCCCATTTACAATCTGATTTTCATTTTTCATTTCTTTCTTCGCCTTTTTTTTTCTTTGACCATTTTCTTTAATTATTATTTACTTTATCGGTTTATTATTTTATCTATTTATTTATTAATTTATTCAGCTTATTTATTCATTAACATGTTAACGGATATGAAAAAATAAATACGTATTGCATACTCACGCATTTACTAAACCAATGAAGATAATTCTAAATGATAAGATAAAACAATAATGCATCTGACAATAACTGTAATAACTATATAATACCAATACAATAGAACTATAAAGCATAACAATAATAACAATTATGATAATGATGAAAATAATAATATTAATGATAGTAGTTTTAGTAATAGTAATGATTATTACCATGAAAATGATAATGATAATAACAATAACATCAATAATAATGATAATAACAATAACAACAATAATAATGATAATAACAGTAACAACAATGATAGTGATAATAGCAATGATAATAAAATAAAAAATGATAATACAAATAATAATGACAATAATAATCATCGTCATCATGATAATGATAATAATAACAATATTACTGCTACTGCTAGTAGTAGTACTACTACTAATAATAATCATAATGATAATAATAGTACTAAAAATAGTCATGATGATGATCATGATGATAATAACTATGATAATAATAACTATGAAAATAATAACTATGAAAATAATAACTATGATAATAATAATATTAATAATAATAATAATAATAATAATAATAGTAATAATAATAAGCAAACTGGTCTATGACCTGGAGAACGTCAGATATAAAAGTCTCAAGGCCAGAAGGAGGCCAGTAGCTTTGGTCAGCAATCTTTCTATGAGTCGAGAATCTCAGATATAAAAGTTCTCAACCTTGGCAATAAGGTTAAAATGCACCTTTTCTTATGAATATGAAAACCAGAAACAAATCATACCGCCTCGTTCGTCGCGCGGGTCAACAAGGAACGCGTCCCTCGGGAGGGAACCAGCCTGAGGTCGAAAAATATGCATCTGGAACAAGCTCTTCGGAAGATGACCTACCAGGTAATCAGAACCAGGACATTCCTAACCCTGAACCGGTAGTGATACCGCCTAAACAGCCAAAAGCTAAAAGAACTAGATGGACCAAAGAAGAGTACAAAACAGTTTTGAGAGCCTTTTATACCGCTCAGAAACACCCAACAACAAACTTAACAGCACAATCTTTCACTGAATGGAGGAAAATTGTAGGGAATGAAGTGCGAGAAAACTTTAACCCAAATAAACTCGCAAATGTACAAAGAGACATAATAAAGAATAAAAGATTAACTGATGCAGAAATCGATCAGATTAGGGCAAGTATTTTGAATGTTGAGATAGTAGATAATGCTGTTGAGCCTGAACCTGCAATGTTGAATCAAGAACCTGATGATAATGAAATTAATGATAGTGACGTTGTTGAAAATAGAAACCCTGCTGATGTAGTTGAGGATGCTAACTTAGACGAGTTTATTGAACAACATAGAGATGATATAGAGGAAGCTCGCCTTGATATTTTACGTGAGTTCAGCAGGACTGAACATCAAGAATATTCAGAAAGAGACTCGCTCCCAAAAATCACGCAAAGCTCAAAACTTCGACAAACGATCAAAATTTATAACGTTGCTTTAAAGGATGTCTTAGATAACCAAGAGCTTGATTTGTCTACTCTTAACATATATATTTACGCTGCTGGGAAAGCAATCTCAAACACAATGGGGAATAAACTTAAGAAGAAAACTAAGAAACATGTTAATAAAGCACCAAAATGGAAAATCAGGCTACAAAAAGAGATTGATGCTCTACGGGCAGAGTTATCAATACTAGATGAAATATCAAAAGGTACACTTGTAAAAACTAAAAAAGCTCGAAATGTTAAAAAACGAAATGAAGTCACAGATGAAAAGTCTCTGTTGCCTGCAAAAGAAACAATCAAACAAAAAATACAGGTAAAGGCCCAACGACTCCGCAGATTTGACAAAAGAACTCGGTTCTATAGGCAGAATAAAATTTTTCAGACTGATGCAAAGAAGTTCTATAGAGAAATCGGTAAAGGAACAATTAATGTTGAGGAGCCCCCGGTTGAAGAAGATATGACTAACTTCTGGAATGGTATTTGGGGAAAAGAGAAAGAGTTTAATAGTGAAGCCGAATGGATTAAGAGAGAACAGGAGAGGATGAATGAAGTGGAACAACAACAATGGGATGAAATAACAGTAATCAAATTGCGTAATGCATCAGCTAAGTCGCAGAAATGGAAATCTCCGGGCGTGGACAAAATGCCAAACTTTTGGTTAAACTCTCTCACATCTTCACATGAGAAACTAGCAATAAACTTTACCAAAATTTTACAAAACCCAGAAAGTGCTCCTGAATGGTTAACTGAAGGAACAACATACCTCTTACCCAAAAACCAAGAAACCCAAAACCCAAAAAACTATAGACCAATTACATGTCTTACAACTACATATAAAATACTAACTTCCATTATAACTAATCGCATGTACAATTTTTTAGATGATAACGCCATCCTACCACAAGAACAGAAAGGATGTAAGAGAAACTCATATGGATGCAAAGATCAACTCCTGATAAATAGAACGATTCTCGAAAACTGCCGTAAAAGTAATAGGAACCTTAGCACTGCGTGGATAGACTACAAAAAAGCATTTGATAGTGTGCCCCATGACTGGATCCTAAAAGCTATAGAAATATATAAATTCTCTCCTATTATCACCAATTTCTTAAAATCAAGCATGGATAAGTAGAAAACTAGACTTTTTCTTTCCCATAAAAATGGATCACTCAAATCTGAACTTATCAAAATCAAGCGTGGAATTTTTCAGGGAGACTCTCTCTCCCCACTTCTCTTTTGTTTAGCGCTAATACCACTTTCTAGCGAATTAAATAACACAAATTATGGTTACAAAATCTACAACAAGTCCGTAAATCACCTGTTCTACATGGATGACTTGAAGCTGTTTGCCAAAAGTGATAAAGATCTTGAAGGCCTGCTGACCACAGTTAAATGTTTCAGTGATGACATAGGCCTGGAGTTTGGCTTAGACAAGTGTGCCAAAGCCTCATTTGTCAAAGGAACACTGAAAGCAACATCATCATTTACTCTGGATCTAGACACTACTATTAGAGAGTTAGACCCAGAAGAAGCCTATAAATACCTTGGTGTCAGCGAGGGGAATGGCCTCAATCATACCTCTATGAAAGAAAAGGTGAGGAAAGAATACTATAGAAGAATCAGATTAGTGCTTAAAACGGAGTTGAATTCCAAAAATCGTATCGAGGCTTTAAATACCCTAGCTGTCCCTGTCGTCCAATACAGTTTTAACATTCTGAACTGGAAAATGGATGAAATAAGACGAATGGACACTAAGA